ACAGGATCAGTATATATTTGTGAATGATGCTGTACTTGAGTCAGTGACATGTGGTAATACACAGGTTGATAGTAGGAATGCTCGTATTGTATTCAACAGGATGAGTAAACTTGATACTAAAACTGGTCAAACTGGTTATGAAGAACAATTTACTGTAAAACAACCAAAAATTGGACAATAAAACATGCATATACATTTCTTTAATTAGGTATTGCAGCAGGTAACACAAAGACCTGATGAAGTAACACATAATATTGCATCACAGAATAATGACAAGAACAGATCAACTCAATTCCTACCACGTAAAAGAAAAAGAGGAATGAGGAAAAAATAAAATCCAATCAATAAATGTACTCAAAAATTGCACATTATTTTTTATTTCCTTCCACAGCTAATAATTACAGAGTACCACTCAAAAATGAACATCCAGATTACATCAATGCAGTTTTTATTAATGTAATGCATTGCCACTAGTTCCTTGTATCATAAGTATATACTTATCATTTTAGGGTTACAAAGAAAAGAAAGCATTCATAATTGCAGAGAGTCCAATGTTTAATACAGCTAGAAACTTCTGGAAGATGATTGATGATAGAAATGTGACTGCTATTGTAATGCTATGCCATGAAAATGAAAATGATGAAGTAACATTAATGATTATATGAAAAAATTGGGATTTATTATTTTATTGTAGGAAGTCTGCTATCAGTATTGGCCTTCAACATCAAGTGGATTAATAGTAGGGGAGTACAATATTGCACTATTAAATGAAGAAATAATAAGCAATGGTTGTATTGAACGAAAATTTGAACTTAAACACACTAATAAAGTATTATTTATGAATTATTGTGTAACACTGATGCTATATACCAAATCTGTAGACTAGTGATAAACAACAAGTGAAACAGTATCAGATAACAAATTGGGATTCAACTGGAAAGATGACTAACCCTCAGACTATACTGTTGGTAATAGAAGAAATGTACAGAACACAAAGGAAAAGAGGAAACACAAGCATTGTAGTACACTGCAGGTGAGAAAGAAATCTGATTTAAATATTAATTTCAATTTCCTTCTTTATAGTGATACAGTTGGTCGTTCAGCAATGTTTTGTGCAGCTGCTACAACAATTAATAAATGTAAGACTGAAGGAGTCATTGATGTATTTCAAGTACTCAAAAGTCAACGTATTCAAAAACCAGGCAGTGTACAGACTATTGTAAGTATCAATAATTTTGAATGAATTAATTGTGTTATGAAAAACTTCATGAAGAAAAGTATAATGGGAAGCATTTTTGTGCTTAGTATCTTGTGAATTTTGAGATTATCATAATTTTTTCATTTAGCAACAATACCAAGGAATATTTCAGATTGTACTGGTATACTTGGATTCATTTGAAACATATGCAAATTTCACTACATAAAATGACAATAATAACTTACATATAATTTTAGCTTAACATGTGTGATTCAGTTATGTTATATTTTAATAGTTACTTTTTAATCCTTATGATTAATGCATGAATACAGACTATATGAAGATCAAAAGACATTGAATTTTAATTAAAGGTATGCAGTGTCATAATGTTATTTTTGCTGTCTGTTATAAACTGCTGCATTATATTTATAATCATACTGCTTGAGGCTCATGCAGGGTATACAAGATGAGGAGATCAACATTAAGTCTTACTTTTAATCGTGTCATTATTTTATGGAGTATTATACTGGCTCTAGTTCAATTAGGACTAGGACAGGCACCTTCTATTCTTCTACCTAGCAATGGTATTTGTAAAACTGAGAGCGTAAAATTTGTTGAAACAATTTCCCTTTTTAGGTGTTCAACTGTTTCTACCTTATAGGGACAGGATAATCCCTGATTACTCTATGATATATGCTGGCCAGTTTTATGATAAAAATGAGGATAGTGATACTAACAATATCATTGATGCTTTGTGGTGCCAGAGTGCTAGCAATCGTACTAATATTGGAGTCTGGTATTATCCTAATGGAACTGAAGTACCTTTATTTGATGGAAACTTCACTGATTCATCAGCTCCTAGTCCAGTGTACAGTAAGAGATTCAGTCATCAGATTGCACTAGCTAGAAATGGTCCACTATCAGGATATGAAGGTTTATACAAGTGTATCATTCCTGATGAGAATGGAGTGAATCAAACACTAGTGGTTGGAGCATATACTGATACTGGATACAATAACAATGGTATGAGATGAATATAGACTATGATTAATGTACTTCTTTTACAGATGGTCCTGATGCTGATCCTACTATGCAGTTTTCTCTCCTCTCCACTAGTAGATTAGCTACTCCTCCAGTCTTCAGTCTCAGTTTCAATGTCTCTGATGGTCCTCCTACTACTGTCAGTTGTTCAGTGAATGGGAATGGAATATCTACTGAACTGTCTCGTGTGATAGTGAATGGACCAGGATCTGTTACAAGAGTGACAGTAACAAACTTAACTGAAGCTGGTAACTATCAGTGTACTGTATCTAATGCCAGAGTAACTAATGGGCCTATTAGTGGCAGTCTGGGTCCTCAAGTAGTAGATATTAGTACTTCATCATTAAGTATATCAGGTTAAAAACTCATATATTTAAATAAATATTAATCATATATTTTCAGTATCTGCTACTCCAACTGGTTTGAATGCTACAAGATTAAGTACTGGTTTAGCTCATGTAAGACTCTCCTGGTCTACTGTATTAGGAGCTACTGGTTATGAAGTCTACAGTCAATTTCTTGGTAATAATCCTGTTAGTGTAGCCACTACTAGTTCAACAACAATCAATGTAATATCAGGATTGATTCAAGGGAATGAATACACTTTCTATGTAGTATCTTATGGATCAGCTTCTTTACCTAGTGGTAATACTTCAGTTATGTTAAAAATTAGTAAGCTATTATTAGAAAAAAATGTAAGTATTTTTTTTAGGTAATCCTGTAGTTAGTGAATTTATGGCTACATTAATTACAAGGACTTCCATTACATTAACATGGAGTCCACCAACTGCTGTAGAACCAAATAGTTATAATATTAATAGGAGATGTAGGAGAGTATGTGAATCATCATTCACTAGTAAAAGTGAAACATCAGTTTCATCACCACATACTTCAACTGGCATACCTCCTTACAGTCAATGTGGCTTTGATCTTATTGGAGTATATGGAGCTGAAATAGCTTTTTTGACTACTAATTATTTAGCTACTGCACTTTCAACTGGTAAGAGAATAATTTTAAATATTAATTTGATTTTCACTATACTTCTATTATAGCCCCTACTGCACCAGTAGATGATATTATATTCTCATCAGTAGAGTCAGTGTCAATGACCGTCTCATGGGATGAAACACCTTGCAATGAAAGCAATGGACCAATCACTGGATACTACCTCACATACACTAACATCACTTCAAACACTATTTATACTGTTAATATCACTGGAGGAGACAACAGAATGTATAATCTCACAGGATTAATACCATATACTAACTATACTGTGAGTATAATACCATATAATTATAATATGAATGGACCAGCTAGACAAGAATTACAATTAACTGCTGAATCAAGTTAGTCAATGAGATATTGATCAGTCTAACATGATCTTAACACAGTTCCTGGTCTGATATCTGATCTAAGAGGTTCAATGCCACCAACTGAAATAACTATTGTATGGAATCCTCCTACAATACCTAATGGTATCATTACAGTACATGAGATAAGATATAGAGAATCTACCAGTATTGGTCAATACAATATAACTAACACTACTAACACTTATTACAGTATAGTAGGATTAATACCTAAAGCTAGTTATACTATTGGAGTGAGAGCATATACTAGTATTGGACCAGGAGAATGGACTAATAGAGAATTCACTACTATTAAAATACGTAAGAAATTATTGAGAATACTATGATGATAATGTTTTAAAATTTTTAGCTGTCATTGAAACCTTTTTTATAACAAAGCTCAATTCTACAGCAGTGAGGGCTGAGTGGCATTTTGTTTCTGGAGCTAGTCATTATACTGTCTATTATGAGTCAACCGGTAGCTCCTCAAGAAAGAAGAGACAAGTAGAGACAGGAATGAGAGTATTCCCAGGTGATACTACTGAAGGTCTAATAGGAGGATTAGATCCTAATCTGAACTACTTGTTCTCTATATCTACATCATTTAATGTTAATGGAATCATTTATGAAGGAGAAAGGACTCAACCAATATCACCAGGTACATGTAGAAAAAATGTAATATTTTACAGCAATTAAGTGTAATACAGACATCAGGTATAAGTCAGTGATAAGTATGTCCAGTACTACTGTGATATCAAAATTAGAATCAAGCAATTTTATCATTTAATAATGTGATATTACTAAATGAATAGGTACTCCTGAAATGCCTACTACTACTAATACTACTGAAGGGTCAATGACTATTGTTTTCATAGCAGTTGGAGCTATTGTACCATTACTATTGATAGTCATAATAATTGTAATCATTATTGTAGTTGTATTAAAGTAAGTGCTTGATTGTATAAGCATTGAATAATATATTGAAAACAGGAAAAAGAGCTTTAAGAATGATTATGACATAGTTACTAAAAACAACTCAACTGATAAGCCAACTGCTGAACATAACTTAACACCTTACAGTACAGTGATTAATAATAACAATGGAGGATATGAAGAAATAGAATGTATGTGCCATAAAATTTTTGTGATCAAATTATTGTTATATTAAGCATATTACACAGCATTAACAGCTTATCCTTATGTTTCAACCTTGTTTATTTCCTTTTTTATTACAGTAGAAAGAATTCAAGAGGCAATCTACAGTACTGTAATGAAGCCTATACTACCAGAGATAGAAGAGTTCCCTAATGATGTGACATCTGAAGCAGGTCGTCAGGTTTTTTTTAAAGTTAAATTCAAGGGGACTCCTACCCCATCTTTTAATTGGTATCATAATGGAGAGCCAGTGACTGATGATTATGCTCATGAGATAAGAGGAGATGGTAGTCTACTGCTAGTGAGTGTTGAGGAGAAACATAAAGGAACATATCGTTTTGTTGCTAATAATGATGCTGGAACAGTTAGTCAACAAGTTGTACTCACAGTTGCAGTAGAAGGGCCCAGGATGCCAAGTAATGGCACCTTGGTTGTTAAAAGTAGTAAAAACTTAATACCTGTTGGACAATTTGGAGAATTTGTTGCTAATGGACATGCTAAAGGAAATGAGGGATTCAGAAATCAATTTATGGTAAGAATTATTCTATTTTTCATTATATTTCATTCACTCTCTTTGCCTCATATGTTATTTTTGTTAATAGATGTTAGACAGTGGTGAGAGTGACCACACAGTAACAGTTGGTCTTACTTCAAGCAATAAACTGTTGAATCGTTTTGCAAACATTGTAGTCTGTAAGTTAGTTAATGCTCTTGTCAATACATTAAGTGCCATTAAACTTCATTTATTCTTCCCACTACTTTAAATGTGTTTTATTATTTTTAGATGATGACAATCGTATTACACTAAGACCAATATCAGGCCATAAGGATTGTCCAAATGAATACGTTAATGCATGCTATGTTGATGTAAGTCTGTTGTTGCTTTTGTTGCACATGTGTCTATACATAAATGAATAAATAAAAATATTTATGTTTACCTACTAGGGTTATTCTAATGAATATCAATACATTGCAACACAAGGTAATGTTATGTTACAA